TGCCCGGGCTGTTCCTTCGCTTGTCTTTCCACACGTAAAGGTCCCCAGGTGCCTCCGTTCCAGCCGCAGTCAGCAGCGCACGCTCGGGTGTGACAGCATCGGCGTTTGCAGTTCTGCGATTTGTGGCCCTGGAGCGTTGGCAGTTCCCACACCTACAAGCGTAGCAGCGTGAGGTGGCCAGAAAGTGTGCTATCTGGTGAAAGTGGACTGACGAACCTGGGCAGATTAAAATAGAGTATGATTTTGAGGTTTTAATATTATTTTTTTTAAAATATTCCAGGTGTTTACCTCTACTCTTTTGCAAAAGTTTTAGGCCCTCTAGGGAACAAATAATTTTCATTTCTTTTTAATTTGCAGAGTACCAAGGACACTGGTTGATCTTGAAAAAGTAGTAACTTTCCATCTTAAAATGATACCTTCCTTAAAAATTCAGAGTGACAGTGTCATCTTGAGTTGTGTCATGTAGAAATCTCAGAAAAAAACAGAGGCTTTTGCTGTTGATCTGCAGTTGGCAATTAAGCGCTAAATAAAAATCTTCCATTTTTCTCTTTTGTCCTTTTGCAGATGCGTGCTAAAAATGGATCATCACTGTCCCTGGTATGTCCTAGATACTGGTTTGTAGTTTTTCTGAAAAGAGAGGCTGTTTAAATACATTTTTTCCACAGAATAGTATCTGTGTGCCTCTTTCATTTTAAACTGTACATCTCTTGATGTTGGGAAATTCATAAAATAATTACACTTTGAAATTGCGTGGAACATTTGTTATTTTGAAAGATAGATCATTCATGTTTGTTCCATAAACTATGTGTAAAAAAGCTGTTATATTAATATACTTTAAAGCCCAACTGCTAATTCACTCTGATGATTATTCAGATTTTAAAAGGACTTCAACTTAGCCTCTAATTTTGGGTACATAATCGTTCCAGCATGCAGTTGGTGGTTGCTTTCAGTAATAATATTTGCATGGAGATTGTTTCTGAAGTGATGCCTGCCACCTGTGCATGGTCAAGACCGTTTGTTTAGAATGGTGCATGGATGCAGTAAGCTTTGTACTTTTTGAGAACTACTGCCACTAAATTTCTTAAACTCCTCCTTTTTTTTAAAAGGAAGACTTCAGAAATCAGAAGCAACATTTCCCCATCTGAACCTCCCTGGTAATCTAAATTGTAGAGGATTTGTCCAACCTGAGTTTTGAAACAAACACCTATCCTTTTTTTCTGCATTCCCTTGTTTCTTTCTAGAGTTGTCCTGTGCATGGAGAATTAAAATGCTATTTGGTTTTATTTTTTTTATATGCAAACAAGCAAGCAGTGGTGAATCTGGCTCGTGAGTTTTACAAATGAACGCAAAAAGTAATGCAGAAGTCGCAGATCTGATTGCCTTTGTAGACAAGGAACAGACATGAGTCATTAGAGCCTGTCTCTGTGACAGATTTACCAGCCGTACCAACTTAAAACAGATTCCAAAATTATGAACTGTCCTTTTACTTGGAATAGCAAGAAGTCCTCAAGTGAAAAGCAAGACTTCAGTTATATTTCTTTTTGACCACTAAGAGGAGCTATTTATTGACAAAATTGTGTTGTATAATCAAGAGGCTTAATAAAACCAAAAACATTGTAATGTTCATTGTGTTACAACTGTGTGCTGTACATATCCTGATTGATTTCAACTTTGCTTTTGTTCTCTAGGGTGAATAACTGCATTGGATTTTCTAACTACAAATTCTTTCTGCTGTTCTTAGCCTATTCTTTGTTGTATTGCTTGTATATTGCTGCAACAGTCTTCAAGTATTTCATTAAGTATTGGACAGTAAGTCGTGAAATCTGGTTACTTTTTCATATCTATGAGTCTCGTGGGGTTTAGTCACTCTTGTTACTTTTTTGCTTTCATTCGATGGAGGGGCTGTGTTTCTTCCCTGAGGTGTTTTCCCACGCCCTTTTTTGAGTAGAACTCCTGTTATATGTCTGAAACGCACAAAGTGAGAGGCAAATAGACCTCAGGAATTTCAAACTGTAGTTAGCGTCTGGCGAAGAAGTTCGATCCTTTCCCTGTTCTTGTGTTTGCATCTCGGAATCTTTGGTATCAAGTAGGACATCCTGGCATTGATCTGTACACATTTACTGAACCATATCAAAAAACCTGGTTCATTTCCTACTGCCTATATGGCTCCTTTCTCAATCTAAAAGTTCACTGACATAAAGTATGCTTCTTACAGGGTGATCGATTATCATTCATGTGCAAGCAATGCCAGCTGACAGTTCCACTAAGAGACTGGCCTTTTGTCTGTAGTTTTTTTATGTCCCCTCTTCTGCTAACTCTGTATGACTGCATTGGAGTAACTTAACTTTGTTGTGCATGAATTTACTAAATTTCTGTTGGTGTAATGGCTAACCACTTACATGAAATGCCTCCTGAGATGCTCGTGGGACACTAGCAGTAACTGTTTCTTATGCTAAGAAAGGCACGGAGACTTGAGCTCTGTGGCTGCATATATGGGATGTGCGGAGGCTGAGGAGGGATTTTTTTTGCCTTGGAGGCCCCTGCAGCCTGCATGGAGATGTATGCTTAGGAGGATCTCTGGCACTTGGCTCTTCTACTGTGGAAGGAAAGAAGTGTTTCTTCTCCTTGTAAGATCCCGCTTGGCTTTTAAACCTCTCCAAACTATCTATGCTCAGTTCTAACGCTCCCTGATTGCTGTAGCTATGGAGGCCAGGTTTTCTTGGCGTGCCTTATACTGCAAGAGGTGCAGAATTTTGATACATGGACAGGAAACTGCAGGACGTAAGCAGGGCTTCAAGAGCTCGTGCCTGCTCGTTTCCCTGCAGGCACAGGGCATGTTTCCTGTGCCCAGGCGGGAAGCTGTGATTGTACTGACTCGGTTACATACAAACAGTTAGTAGCAAAACCCTGCTCTTTCTGCTTTGGTTGCAGGAGGGGAAACGAACCAGGTGATTGCTTTGTCTCTTCTTGCTTTTCATAGTAGGGTGTGACTTTCGTGTATACAAGTTTGAGAACTCCAAGTAGGAGTTTTAGAGGATATCTTTCTTCTCTCTAGGAACAAAGAGTTTCCGGCTTTTATTTGTTCCTATCACTTGTTCTCTGTTGTTTTTCTTTCCAGGGTGAACTGACTAATGGACGTTCCAAATTTCATATCCTTTTCCTTCTCTTTGTGGCGGTCATGTTCTTCGTGAGCCTTATGTTTCTGTTCGGCTACCACTGCTGGCTCGTCAGTAGAAACAGATCTACTTTAGGTAAGGCTCTTACTTCTTTAAGTAAGACACACCAAAAATGCTGTGAGAAGAAAAAAAGAAAAAAAAAAAAGGCATTTGTTTTCTATTTCTATA